AAGGATTATAATTATTATATTATCTCGTACTAGCCACCAACCCCTCTGCTCTCTGTTTTATGTGTTACCCCCCCAAAAAATAAAAATTAATTCTTCAGACGCCAAGAAATGTTAATTAACAAATAAAAATGCTTTGAAAAGGTTTATTTGCACAATAAGCCTGCAATGCAATGTAAATAGAGAAGAAACCTCTGCATTGTCCAAAAAAAGTAACCCAGGCTAAAAACAATAATAAGCTAAAGCTAATCCATTATTGCATTATATTCTATTATATTTTTCCCCTGCCACCTGAATTTTGTGCTTCCCTGGTGGAGAATGTCCAACGAATGCAGGAAATTAAGTGTTTAATGCTCAAAATCTTCTGGGGGAGGACCTCCAGACCCCCCTATCAACTATTTCAACAATAATTTTTTTTCCTTCTAAATAGTAGCCCTATTAAAATATATTCTTGTCTTGTTGTCATGGCGCCAATTTTGTGCAATGTTACATCTCATGGGCTAAAGTGTTTTGTTACACCCCTAATCTGAGCCCTTAAAGCGGTTTCCGACCAATTTTGGTGGGCCGCAAGGGCCAAAAATGCCAGGGCCGATTTTTTTGTCTTATTCCAGCCCTGCTTGGCCACGAGTTCTAACAACCATGATGACTGTCGTTACCACATCCAGGAGCACTAACAAACCAGCGATATCGACGATCCTAGCTAACAATCCCAGAGGTTAAATAGCTTAGTTTCCCTACCAGTCAGTCAGAACTGAAGAAGTCTCTTGGATGAGGGACGAAACGTCTTCTAGTATCTTCAACTAAGTCCAGTTGTCCTTGACCTCAACCTTTGTTGTATAACTATGACCTGGATAACTGAGAACCTTCACAGACACTTTAGAGCAGGTTAAGTTTTTGAAAATGAAATGTCAAATGCGGTTTCCATTTTCATTTCAATATGGTCCTAGAAAGTATGTGAAAATGGAATTTGGATGATTGCATTTTCATTTTTACCTAAATAACACATACATATGTGAAAATTATGTTATGATATTAGTCACCTATACGCTTCCATACTGTTGTTTATCTGAAAACGAAATGGAGATTTAGAACGTAGAATTAACGTTTCAAGGAAAACTTGCTCAAATGTTGGGATTTATCCCCGGAGTGACGTTTAAAACTCATCAGGGATTTGTGACATTACCATATTTGGCGCCACATCCTGCCGATGTTAATGTAGGGATGTATAATATGTTTGTTTATACCAATATTGTTGATCATCAAACAGTGGGGGATAGTTACATCCCTCTTTTAAAAATAGAACATATAACAGGGCGAAACAACCATGTGATCACAAATACTTACGACAAACTGCTCTACCTAAGGCTCTGTAAAACACACATTGACAGTATCGATATTTCTCTCAAGTCAGATCAGAATCAGCATATCCCTTTTACATACAGTAATAAAACTACACTTCCGACCAGTAAAATAGTGTATTAAACAAGGAGCAAACATCAGAATCAGAAGGAGCTTAAGTAGTGTTTTACACATACAAGGAATTTGCTTTGGTGATAAGGTGCTACACGTAGACAAACATACAGTTGACATAAAGAAATGTAGAAATTTATAAATATAGAATAGACAATTCAAGTTATGTAAGAATAATAAGAGAATAGAGAAAAATAATACAACTATTTACAGAGAAAAGAAGTGTTGCAACGGAAGAGAGTATTGTGTACATAAATATAAATTGACAATATAAAAACATACAACAACAAATATTAACAATTAACAACAAATATGTGCAATGTGCCAGGTTTATGCGTGACATGAAATTAAAGAATATTTACATGTGCAGAGACAGTTGTATTATTTTAAAGCAGGGGAGTGTCAGTGGGGGACCCGGGCCTTGATGATGAGGCTAGCTGCAGACGGGAAGAAGCTGGTTTTGTGGCGAGAGGTTTTGGTCCTGATGGACCGCGGCCTCCTGCCAGAGGGGAGAGTCTGAAACAGTTTGTGTCTTTCCTGCTCGCCTCAGAGTCCTGGAGGCGTACAGGTCCTGAAGTGATGGAAGACTGCAGCCAATCACCTTCTCTGCAGAGCGAATGAAATGTGGCAGCAGCGTACCAGATGGTGATGGAGGAGGTGAGGATGGACTCAATGATGGTGGTGTAGAAGTGCACCATTGATGTCTTTGGCAGGTTGAACTTCTTCAGCTGCCGCAGGAAGTACATCCTCTGTTGGGCCTTCTTAGTGAGGGAGGTGATGTTCAGCTCTGTGAGAAATACATTATAAGTTGCTCCATTTTAGAATTTCACTTTAACTAACTTGTGAGAAATTAGCATTGGTTTCTAGTTAAAGGCTGATTTATGATAAACATCTGATGCCACATACATTTGCATTTCCTTTCTTAGCTCAGGAAGAGTTTTTGAGTGTATGCTAATACTCTGCCATTTGTTTTCCTTCATCTACCATTTGTTGGCTGTTGTTTGCTTTGTACTTGTTGTACTGTAGTTAAGGAGAGGAAATGCTGAGTTTGAGAGAGTAACTGTGTGTTCTCTCTGTGGCCACGTTACATAAAGAAATGATTCAACACATCTATTTGACTCCGTATTCTTTGGGAAGGAATTATTTTCCCTGACAGCTCCCACATGAGGTCCTGGGAGATGATGGTGCCCAGGAAGCGGAAGGCGTCCACAGTGGTGACCGAGGAGTCACCCAGGATGATGGGGGAGGGTGGGGCAGGGCTCATTCTGAAGTCCATGACCATCTCTACTGTCTTCAGAGCGTTGAGCTTGAGACTGTTCTGGCTGCAACAGGTCACCAGATAGTCGATCTCCCACCTGTAGGCGGACTCATCCCCACCAGAGATGAGCCCAATGAGGGTGGTGTCATCTGCAAACTTCAGGAGCTTGACAGACTGGTGACTGGAGGTGCAGCTGTTGTTGTACAGGGAGAAGAGCAGAGGGAAAAGAACGCAGCCTTAACGGGAACCGGTGCTGATGGTCCTGGAGTCAGAGACATGTATCAGCCATATGTTCACAATGTGGACAAATACGTTGCATACTACACCGTCCAAGCAGGTGGAGATTTACCAGGATACAGCAGGCTCGGTGCTCAGTACGGAGCAGGGTTAGGGGGTATTTTTAGGGGGATGTTTAGACTGGCATTCCCCTTACTCAAGAGAAGATTTACATTTACATACCTCATTTAAAGACAGAGGATAAAAACATAGCTATGGATGTTATTACTAACATCATGAACAGGCGTCAAGAGGGGTTGGGTATAATGGCCACGGCCCCCTGACCAATAAAACGCCCTCCTGGGAAAAGAAGGAGTTCCTAACCAAAGAGGTGTTGCTGAACAATAAATAAGAAGAGCTATACTAAGACTAGAAAAAATAAACAAGCAAGGAGAAGCATGTCGACAAACGTCACAAGACAAGAGACATTTTCTAAAGAGAATGGCATTGGTACATTGTTGGGGGAGTCTTCTTTCTAGGAGCCATACTCAATGCCACAGGATCTATAATTATACATAATTTTGTAGTCATTACACCCAATTGATTAACTGTGGTGTCCATGATTGTGATGCAGCAAAAATGGCGCTGTCGTTCTGCACTAAGATAGCTCTGTCCGATGGGGATTCACCCAAAAATCGTTGTAAGCATTCACCCCGTTCCATGTTCTCTGCCAGATGTATACCAGTGTTGTGTTGTTCAAAGACCGTTTCATTCATTTGACCTAATCTTTTATGTGGCTCAGGAGGAACGGGTAGTCTCAGAGAGTAATTCGTTCATTTTCACGCATGCGTAAATAGTCTTGGGCTCTTATGTTCACTCGTTACACGGCAGCTGCATGGGCTCCATCAGCACAGGAAACAGAACTGATTAGTTCACGACTCTCAACTGTGGGTCTCTAGGTTTGAGTTGTTCATTTTTCACGTGACATGAGTCTGTCTTCACTCAGTAGGCTGAGTTATTGCCAGCACCGGGGAATGAGAGGCAGGTCGGTTGTCAGGTAACATTAATTATATTAATTATAAAAAACAATAATAACAATTATATATCTATTTTGATAATTTTGTGACAACAAAGCATAACATTATTACAGCACAGTGATGTTGTGCCATAGTTTTAACACAGCTGCACTGTAATGTTAGTACTGCTAGTGTTTACAGCTAACAGCTGATCCGGGTCCGCCAGAGAATGCAACGTAACTTTTACTTTTTATTTATCAACATAGCCGGGCTGTTGTTTCACAGCTCTTGACTGGTGAACAACCTGCAGTGTTTGAGATTATTATTAAATTTGTTAAATTTTAATCAGAGTTTATTAACGTACTTCAATATATTCTCCGCAAATCTGATGCTAATATATAGATTTTACTCATGAATAGGGATGTTAGGCTACTGTATGAATGAGCACTTTAGAGATATAAAGATAGTTATTATAATTATATACATATATATGGCTGGTCTCGTAGTATACTCAGGAAAGATTGTGAAAATGGACGGATTTAGCCGGAGTAGTCGATCGAATATTGACATCATATTTCTGTGGTTTTTACATGGTTTGAATTTGGTTGTGGCTCCATGGGGCTTTATAGAACCATGACAGAGAGAGGTGAATTTGTGCATTATTCAATTAGAGCAAGCCAGGCAGCCTTTTGTGTTTGAGAACTGCACTGTTTTTTAAAAAATCACCCACTAGAGGGGCTGCAGCGCGAACGAAATGAAACAAAAACGATTAGTTCATCTTAATGACTGAGATTTGGTGACTCGAGTCTGTCAAAATCCTTGCAATCAACCTCTGCAGTCATGACCCGGCTCTACTTCCACGCCTGTTACACGCCTGTGTATTTATAATTGCAAACTTAATTTTTGATTGCAGTGCAGTAAATATGCTCTCAAAATTTTTTTTTTCTAGCATTAAAAATACACAAAAATACTTTCAGAACTTGAGTCCAACCCAAGATTTTATTGTTATTTCCAGGAAGCATAACAGCAAAATGTCTCACACAGTTTATAGTCTTACATAAGACCCTCATTTTTATCCTTTGACAGTTGTAATCCTTATATAGACATGTTCTGTAGGTAGAATCAAGAGGCTCCCATGTAATAAAAAAGAGATCTATGTGGAGAGTATGAAAGGAGTCTTACATAACACACATACAACATCAATACCAAACAAATACGATCACCTGTACAATGTCATCCAATTACACAGCCCTGAAATAAAGCCTACCTGTTGTATTGATATATTATTGTAAAATTGTGAAAATGTTTATAATTGTAAGTATAATTTGAATGTACTTCATATATCCTCTCCTTAAAGATTTAATCACAGTTGCAAAAAACCTGAAAGCATTAATTACAGTTACAATTGCAATTTAATGCAGATTAATAAAAAAACATGTCTTCACCATCTCTCCTGCCACATCCCAACGTTCATGACCTTCTGATATTCACAGTTAGAGCAAATGTTTAATAATAATATAGTTAATCAGTTTCAGGCCAAAATCTGTTATTGACTTTAATTTACTCTGATGAGAGTCTGGAGTAATTATCAACTTGTATGTTTAATTTTAACCATCTTAATAAATTCAACACATGAATATTACATTTTAACAGTCAAACTAATCTGTTGAAGTGTAATAAAATAATGAAATTGATCAATAAAAAATGTCATTGTCTTTAAATGATGAATTTATTATGTAATTTTACAATACAATTTTAAATTTAATTGCATTATTTAATTTCATGATGTTGAAGATGGTCCACACCAACAAGTTCAAAGTTTCCACTAAAGTGCAAATTCTGCAAATTAGTTTAAATGAGTTCACCTGTTTCCAGCAAAGTTAATCGAACACAATACAACACAATGATTAGTCATCAATTACTTGATAAAATTACTATTGTGATAATTTATTTTAGTCATTTTACAAACCGTTGAGTACACTGGGCTATGGGAAGTTTTGTAATAGGACATATTTCTCTATTTTCTGCCATTAAAAAAAGATAAGTCAATTAATAGAGAAAATAAAGAAATCAAAAGCATAATCAGACATCTTCTTGTAATAATTAATCAAAACCAATTAAACTTCCTATGTAAGGACAAAGAGGCAGAAGGGAACATGTGCGACGGACAGCAGCAGAGTAACCGTGAGGGAGATCAGGTAAGAGGTTCCAGAGATGATGAAGCACGCTGAGGTCACTGTCAGTCCCAGGGGGCCGAAAGATGATGAAGCCCGGCTGGTTGGTGGGGATCTTGCTGTTGATCCAGGATTGATATTCAGACACTCTGGTGTAGATTCCTGGAATGTTGGGCTCAGCACAACCTTCTCCACTACTCACCACTCCGGCCTGGACCCACTTTGAGCCAGTTTTTTTCACCATCGGGCCGCCTGAATCCTTCTGCAGAGGTCAGACATGTCTGTTATATCACTAGCAAACTGTTGAGGAGAGTAACTAAGTACATTTAGTTAAGTAGTGTATTTACTGTAAGTTCAATTTAACATAGTGAGTTGAGGAAAATACTGTACTTCTTATTGCAATACATTTATGTACTTAATGAATTTGCAGATTCAGATATGAAATACAAGATATAATTAAAGCTGCAAGCAGCTTTGGACGGCCATCGCGCCGTGACTCGTGGTGGGGCTTGCAGTGGCCATGGTGCAATTGCGAAGGTTGTTGATGTTGAAAAGTTAGTTAAACGTCATGTCCTGTGTCCCCTATGTGGCGCTAGAGAGCATCTGCTATTAACACATTATGTCCCAGTACGTGAAGTGCTCTGACTTTCACTGAAATGTGGCATATAGCACTTTTCATCATCAATGCTGACTTCCTGTTGGGCTTAAGGCAATCCTCCTAGAGGCTTTTATGTGTCTTGGCATGAAATGTCCACATGAATGAATGTCCCACAAATGTTTTGTGCATGTAGGTCAAACAGGGAACGGGGGCTGCTCCATTGAGGTGTCACTTCCTGTTGCCAATGGATGGCGTCATGAATGAGTGATTATTGACATGTAAATGTGTTCAGTGGGGGACTCTTATCAAACATTTGAAATTTGGTACAGATCTGAGCATGTACTGTCAAGTTACAATAACTTCTTTCGTGGCGAAGCATCGAACTTTGACTCAATGCCACGGACACACTGTTAAGCGAAAACTCCCAAGCTGTTTTGAAGTGGTTGCGGCCAACCTGCCAGGAGCAGTAGATCACGACAGAACAGAATAGAATCGAATATTTACTGTCATTGAGAGAGACATGCTGTGGTAAGCGTGTTGGTTCATTTCCGTTTCCGGTGCTTGTGAGTTGGTAGCATGTTGTGTTGCTCTCACTAAATACCAGTTAAATTTGTTAGATTTGTCATTACAGCGGTCAACTGTCCGCTAAACACTTATTCTTACAGTAGTTTTGCCTAAGCACTCACAATTCTTTCCATCTTTTAGTGACTGTTGTTTAATCTCATAGTTGTTTTCAAAATTTTTGTTTGCCAACGCTGCAGTACTTTAGCTTAGCCGTTACAGACTTTAGCTTAGCAGCTAGCGATGGCTTCTCCTTCTCCCTCTCGCTCTCCTACTTTCTCCTGCTCGGTGTGTCTCTTAAACATCAGATCTCTCTCTTCTAAAGGTGTACTAGTAAATGAATTAATATCAGATTAGGATATTGATTTATTTTGTCTTACTGAAACCTGGCTGGGTGATAGAGAATATGTGAGCCTAAATGAATCCACCCCTCCCAGTCATATTAATACTCACATTCCTCGAGGCACAGGCCGAGGAGGTGGGGTTGCAGCTATCTTAGACTCTAGCCTACTAATCAGCTCTAAACCTAAACTATCCTAAACTAAACCTAATAGGAAAATCTCGACCCCTCTGTTCTTTCTAACTTCTGGTCCATCTCTAAACTGTCTTTCTTATCTAAAGTCCTGGAGAAAGTAGTTTTTGCTGCCAGCTGCAAGCATTTTTAATTAATAATAATGTTTATGAAAAGTTCCAGTCCGGCTTCAAACCCCGTCACAGCACTGAAACGGAAGAGTTTTTTTGACTTGATTTTGACTGTTGACTCAGGAGTCTCTGCCGTCCTAGTGCTCTTAGACATTTGACACTGTTGACCACTCAATCCTCTTGTCACGGTTGGAAAATTGTGTGGGAATCAAAGGTACTGCACAGGTGGTTTCAATCCTATCCAACAGATAGGTGCTTCTCTGTCCACCTTGGTGATTATTCCTCTGAGACAGCCCCATTTAACCTGTGGTGTCCCTCAAGGTTCTGCCTTAGGCCCCATCTTATTTTCTTTGTATATGCTGCCTCTGGCCTCGATTTGTGAGAGGTATGGGGTCCCCCTTTCACTGTTTTGCAGACACTGTTTAAATTTATTTGCCCCTGAATGTAAAAACAAAGGGCTCACTGCAGCCCCTGCTTGACTGTATGAAGGACATCAAAACATGGATGAACCTAAACTTTCTCAACCTAAACGGAGACAAGACAGAGATCATAGTGTTGGACATACTGAACTGCTTGATGTAGATTCTCTCAGCCCTTTAACTTCAAACAACCGCTCAACTGTGAGGAGTCTTGGTGTTGTATTGGATAGTGTATTTAAATTTGATAAACAGATATCCGCCACAATTAGATTCTGCTTTTTCCAGTTGAGAACTATAGCCAGGGTAAAGGCCCATCTCACTCCTAAAGATATAGAGAGGGTGATTAATGCCTTTATAACTTCCCGCCTTGACTATTGCAACTCCTTATATGTGGGCTTAGACAAGTCATCGAATCAGCGCCTGCAGTTAGTCCAAAATGCTGCTGCCCGCCTCCTGACAGGAAAGAAGAAGAGGGACCACATCACACCTGTGTTGCGCTCCCTCCACTGGCTTCCTGTTCATTACAGGATTGATTTTAAAATCTTACTTTTAACTTTGAAATTCCTTAATGGATTGGCTCGATTGTAGTTAACGTAGCTTCTTCACATTCATACTGCAGCTAGATTGCTGAGATCTGCCAGTCTCCTCCTCTTGGATGGACCCAGAAGCAGACTCAAAACCAGAGACGATCGAGCCTTTAGTGTAGCTGCCCCTAACCTGTGGAACAACCTGCCAGTCCAGATCAGTACCGCCCCAACTCTCAAACGTTTTAAATCACTTTTAAAAAAACATCTCTTTTCTTTGGCATTTCCTTCAAGTTAAGTCTGTTATTATTCCTGGAAATTTAATATCACTATATATCGTATACTATATATATATATATATATAATGTTTTATTGCTGTACTTTTACTGTGTAAGTAGTGTCTTGTATTTTAACCTGTGAAGCACCTTGGGTAAACTTTGGTTGTTTTAAGTGTGCTATATAAAATTGATATTGATATTGATACTAAATTATAACTCATTTGAAAACCTTGTTCTTAGTTTTTCACACCCAAGTTGGAAATCACTGCAACCAATTCTGTTTGCTATACAGAGCACCTCGTCCATACTCTGAATTCTTATCTGAATTTGTAGAGTTTTTGTCAATTTTAGTCCTTAAAACAGACAAAGTTATGATTGTACGGGATTTTAATATTCATGTGGATGTTGAGAGTGACAGCTTTAGTACTGCATTTATCTCTCTATTAGATTCAATTGTCTTCTCTCAGAGTGTTCATGAACCGACTCACTGTTTTAACCACACCCTCAACCTTGTTCTGGTATATGGCATTGAAATTGAACATTTAATAGTGTTCCCACAGAATCCCTCTTTATCTGAGCACTGTTTGATAACTTTTGAGTTTCTCTTGCTGAACTACACGCCATCAGGCAAAAATTTCTATACAAGATGTCTGTCTGATAGTGCTGTAGCTAAATTTAAGGATGTGATTCCATCAGCCCTATATTCATTATCAGGTCACAAAGTAACGGAGGACTCCTATGCTAATTTCAGTCCCTCACCAAATCGATCATCTTGTTGATAGTGCTGCAGGCTCGCTGCGAATGACAACTCTGTAGCCCCTCTAAAAAAGAAAATACTAAAACAAAGACGGTTAGCCCCATGGTATAATACTGAAACTCGCAAATTAAGACATTGAGAGGAATTGGCGTTCCACCAAACTGGAAAATTCTCGTTTAATTTGGCAAGATAGTCTTAAAACTTATAGGAAGGTCCTCCATAATGTCAAGATGTTTTAGCAAACTATAGACCTATATCTAACCTTCCATTTCTCTCTAAGGTTCTGGAGAAAGTAGTTGCTAACAGCTGTGTGAATTTCTACAGAGCAATAGTTTATTTGAGGATTTTCAGTCAGGATTTAGAGCTCATCATAGAACAGAGACAGCACTGGTGAAAATTACTAACAACCTCCTTATTGCATCAGACAAAGGACTTGTCTCTGTACTGGTTTTATTAGATCTTAGCGCCGCATTTGATAACATTGACCATCAGATCCTATTACAGAGACTGGACCACTTCATTGGCATTAAAGGAACCGCTCTAAACTGGTTTAAGTCCTCTTTATCAGATCGATTTCAGTTTGTACATGTTAACGATGAGTCCTCCATGCATGCCAAACTTAGTCATGGAGTTCCTCAAGGATCTGTCCTCGGACCAATCCTCTTCACTTTATATATGCTTCCTTTAGGCAATATTATCAGAAAACACTCCATAAACTTTCATTGCTATGCAGATGATACTCAGTTATATCTATCTACTCGATCAAGCCAGATGAAACTCATCAGTTAGCTAAACTTGTGTGCCTTCAGGATGTTAAAACCTGGGTGACCTGTAATTTTCTAATGTTAAACTCAGATAAAACTGAAGTCATTGTTCTGGGGCCTAAGCACCTCCGTGACGCATTATCTAAAGATATAGTTTCCCTTGATGGCATCGCCCTGGCCTCCAGCACCACTGTGTGGAATCTTGGAGTTATCTTTGATCAGGACATGTCGTTTAAGTCTCACATTAAGCAAATTTCAAGGACCGCCTTTTTCACCTACGTAATATTGCAAAAATCAGGAACATCCTGTGTCAAAATGATGCAGAAAAACTAGTCCATGCTTTGTTACTTCTAGGCGGGATTACTGCAATTCCTTATTATCAGGCTGCTCGAAAAAGTCCATTAAGACTCTTCAGCTGATCCAGAATTCTGCAGCACGTGTTCTGACAGGAACCAGGAAAAGAGATCATATTTCTCCTGTCTTAGCTTCTTTGCATTGGCAAAAATCCAGTAATAGAATTTAAAATCCTCCTTCTCACCTACAAAGCTCTTAATGGTCAGGCACCATCTTATCTTAAAGAGCTCATAGTACCTTACTACCCCACCAGAGCACTGCGCTCCCAGAACGCAGGGTTACTTGTGGTTCCTAGAGTCTCCAAAAGTAGAATGGGAGCCAGAGCGTTCAGCTATCAAGCTCCTCTCCTGTGGAACCAGGTTCCA